CATTTCCCATACTCCTTGTTGTCAAGTTTATGGTTGCAACAAGGATCTTAGCTCTTCAAAAGATTACCACAAGAGGCATAAAGTTTGTGAGGCACACTCCAAGACAGCCAAAGTTATTGTTAATGGAATTGAACAGAGGTTTTGTCAGCAGTGTAGCAGGTTGCTCGCTCTCTTTACTATCTTTTGCCCTTCAATTTTGACATGTCTCTATGTGAAATTTAATGTTTATATTTGCCTGTTTGTATTTCAAGATCCTATTGTTTAACAATTGAAACCAGTTTAGAGATTTTTTCATAAATAATCCGTATGATTGTCATGTAATTCAGCTTGCATATAGGTTGTTTCTTGCAGACCAACTTTTTTGGAGGAAGATACCCGAGTCTTTCCTTATCTGTCCTTTTCTAGCATTAACTCCACATATATTAGGGTGGACCTAAAACATAATTGTTCATTCTTGTCACTTTCATGGCCTGTATTTATATATTCTTTTTTGGCGGTACTTATCGTAATTCTTGTTGCTACATCAGGTTTCATTTACTGGCTGAATTTGATGATGGTAAGCGCAGTTGTCGCAAACGCCTAGCAGGGCATAATGAGCGGAGAAGGAAGCTTCATTTTAATACCTTTTCTGGAAAATCACATAAGTTGATGCATTCGTATCAAGGTATGAATGAACCATCTCTTACCTTTTACATCTCGTGAGGCTCATACATTTGAAGTCGAAGATATAAACTCAAACTTGTTCCGAGGCAGAACCGGTCATATAATTTAAGCCCTTCACTCTTGATTTCATTGGAATAGATAAGTAACTTATTTTCTGCCGGGCTAAGTCTATGCCCTATGGAAACATTTTATGGAAACCCTCGAAAACTAGTATGCGCTAACGAGGCTAGGTCTAAATTGGTTTTACAAGATTCATCTTGAGAATGTAAGAATATTAAAAACTACAAGAAAAATCTACAACTGAAGCATTTTTATCTTATCCAAAGTCTAACGAGTTCGTATAAGCTTTCAGTATAGGTTTAGTTCGATATGCAGGCAAAAAATAGAAATACAGAGTTGTAGGAACCGAATTGTCCTAGCTTGGTTTGCTTCATTAGATTGCTATAGAATTTAATTTTGCAAAATTTTAACATATTGGTAACCTTTGTGGACTCAGGTGCCAAGTTTTTGGGGACGTCCATATCAAAAGGAACACCTTTCATTATCCCAAACGTATTTCAAGTTGACATTTTTCATCCTGAAAGACACTCGTACGCTAATCAATGCCAGAAGGTTAAATCTGAAGAGAAACCAATGTTTAATTCCCATTCGGCAATACCGATTGCAAATGGGCAGTTGCAACCATCATCTTTCTTTCATGTGCATGGCAGTGGGAGACAACATGTCCCTGGAACATTTTCATTGGCAACCGAAGCTTTCGATGCTCCTAGTGTAGCATCAACGGTTGAAGAGTTCTCTGGGGTTTCACGCTCAGACTGTGCTCTCTCTCTTCTGTCAGCTCAATCCCAGGATTTGTCAAGCCATGCGACAGGAATTCAAATGACAAGGCCCTTGATTGATCAAGCCAGCAATGCCCATCGGAGCTCCAAGAAATCTGCTGTGAATACCTTTTATTCATGTGGAATGAACCCCATGGGAGTAAGCCATGCAAGCTCCGTTGCTGTCTCTGATGCTGGTCATACCGCTAATTTCGACCGTCAAGTTCAAAACTCGGATCTGTTTAGCACCAGCTACTGCCTTTCTCCTAAAAATGAAACCACTGTCGATTTGCTTCAACTTTCAACACATCTGCAAAGAGTGGAGCAGCAATGGAACTCCATGCAAATAAAGCAGGAAAACGAGGACCTGTTTTATTTCCTCACCACATAATTAGTACGCGAGGGAGAAAGGTATATGCGCAAACACCCCTGCTTTCAAACGTTATCCATAAATCTAAGAATGCTCTATTCTTCTTTCTGGTTTACAGAGAGCTCCAAAAGGTTCTTTTTATCCTGACGCATTTCACTATAGGCTGTTAGACACTCCGATACCATTGGTAGCACATCCCGTCTCCGGTCGCTCGACGCAAATACATTGGAACTGTACATTGGTGCAAGTTCAGTAGTATTTGTTCTTCCCTATAGTTTGTCTGTAGATTCTGTGTAGTTAAAGATGGGTTAATGTTCATATATGATACAATTTGAGACATTGTTAATCATCCCACCACTTTGGTTGCACCGAAGGGACAATGTTCAAAGGGACAACCTAAGTGTCAAGTTGGAATAAAGATCAGATCTCCCCCATAAAAAAGCTTAGAATTTGAATCATTCCTGCACTTGTATATATATAAGTGGTTGATGTTGATTTGAAGATGATATGCCTGTTAGCGTACTGCATGCATATCTCTGTTAAAATATTCTGTTTGCTGCTTTATTGCAGGTTGATATTTAGTATTGGAGTTTTGACTAAAGGTTTTTACTTTAGAACAAAAAAGATCAAGCCATTTTAAAAATTATTCAAAGATATGGAGAATTCAACCATGACATTTGAAAAATATAATTTAACTAATGATCACTGTGAATTTCAAAAACTGGTGGCAAAATAGTGGAGGAATATGCAAATCTGTAGTATCCCCAAATCCTTTCCGGGACAGCCTGTTGCCTGCTCCAATTATGTAGCAGTAATTGTGGGATTCATAGTCCCTAGCCTGCAAGTTCAGTTCATATGCACATAAGCTGCAATAAAAAAAATTCTCCGTGAAATGCTAAATGTTCATCAAGTTTATAGTTTTTACTCACTAGCCATCTCCGTGGATTGAAGGTGAAAGGCTCTGGATAAAGGAATGGATCATAGTTTATTTCCCTTACATACACATATTCTCCATCCTTTGGGAATGGTAAACCCTGTCTCGAATCATTTTCTTTAAGTATATGTGTCCGACACTTGTGTCTGTCGATGTACCGTTCAAGACCACATCATCTGTTGTCCTTCTCATTAGTCCATTAACTGTAGCTAGACTTGAGGTTTCATGTATCACCTGTCCATAGGCAGCATGATTTGATTAGTTTATATGATGCCAATGGGAGCTGGTTTTACAAGGAGTCGTGAATTTGCTTACAGCACAGGTGAAGTTCATAGACTTGTAATCGTTCCAATCAATTGCCTCTCCCGGTTTCTTCTTTTCTCGGATTGCGAAATGTTCATCCTAGGCAAGTAATACACCAGAATCATTAAGAACCGTATGATTAAGAAATTCGGTCTACTAATCGGAGAAATCGTCGCCTCACTCGTAGTTCTCGAAGAGCTTTAGGATGATCATGGAGGTACTTGATGGCCATCATCAAAGTAACCGAGACAGTTTCGAACCCGAGAACAATATGATTATTATCGAATCAATTATCTCCTCATCAGTGAGATTGTACTTTGGGTCTTTGCTATGGAGAAGAAGGCGGTAAAGAATATCATCATAGGCCTTTGAAGAGGATCTTCTTTCCTCCATCAACTGTTTCAACATCTTCACAACTCTTTTTCTTCCCTGCATCGAATCACATACTGAAAAACATTAGGCAAATTTCTTGGGCAAATCATATCTAAAAAGTCTTTCGAGATTATACCTGCAATCCATGATGGTAAGTTGTCCCCGGAATGTCAATGCCATCTGATAACGGATCAAGACTCGTAAACAAAGGTTGCTTACATGACAAGTAATCTAAACAAAATCAGCATGTTAATCTGCAAACCTCCTTGGTTGTTTCTTGAATGTCTATGGTTTTTCCATTCCAGTTGTTAAGGAAAGATATCACGAAGGTATCGATCTTCGGCAGCAAATCCTCTTTCATCACGAGAGGACTGATGAGGGACATCATTGAACCTCTGATACACTTGTGAGAAACGCCATCCACGGCTGCGATGTTGCGTCTCCCGAGTACACCGAGCATGGATTCAGGGTAACCGGGGATCAAGCATTTGCCTTCGTTAAAAAGGATGCATCTGTTGAGCTCTGTATCCATGCAAACAACAGTCGGACACCCCGATATGTGTCTTGAACAAAATCCCATACCTGTTTCGAAAACAAAAATGTAACAGTTTCTCCAATGCACCATGCATGTTATATTACTCGAACTTGGATTTTTCATAAAATATTCGTGTTTAACACTTTTATCGAAGTCCGAGTAACATAACATGAATGCAAACGAATTGAAAAGACTTACTTAGCTCGCTGCTTTCTCATGAAACTCGGTCCAGATTTGATGAACTCAACGGTCTCCCCCAAAACTGGTCAACCCATGGTCCGGAGGCAAATCCTTTCGTCTACTGTACCTTATCTCATTCCATTTCAACAAGGCAAAGCTAATGGTGAGAACCAAAGTGAGCAGGCTAGCTTACTACTAGTAACACAAAGATCGCCATTGATGCTTCCAAGAAAGAACTGGTGCAAATGGGCATGGCTAGCTCTCGGGTCTTTAAATAATGTGCAGAGGGAGTGCTACAGATGGTCAGTTGCCTTGATAGCTACAAAGATGGGACAAAATGGAAATATCATGAAGGCAACAATGCACATACCTAATATGGAGATTATATAGGGTACTTCCCAAATTTTGGTTGCCTTTGAATTCAATACCAAATAGGGCTTCTGCCTGGTGTCCACTATGACTACATATCAAATTTGAGATAGTAGAGGATTAATTAATGACCTATCAAAAGTACAGGATCAAATTATGTCAACTTAAAATATAATATGACTACATATCACATTTGAGCATAGTAGAGGTATTTAATAAGTTTATTTTCAATCATCGTCCATGCAATTATTAGTTGATTTCTTGAAGCTATCCAGCTGATGTCAATGGCATTTTTTTAAACTTATCTTGGAGCAATCATGGAGCTTTCAAAACTCTACTTTCAATCATTGATCTTTAAAGAAATGTTTACTTTGATTATAGGTCTAACTATGCCCCCGGTCCCTCTACTCTTCAAATTTTTAAATTTTAGTTCCTATAAATAAAAGGATTCAACTTTTATCTTCCTCTCCTTACAAATAAGGATTCAACTTTGCCATCTCAAAATGAAAAGAGAGGAAGAAAGAACCCAAAATGGTAAACATATAACAGAACAAAAGGAAAAAAAGTAGGAACTAATAGAGGTTTGAAAACCCTCAGCTACATACAAGCATACACTTATGCGCGAAACAAACTCGACCCTACTCGGAAAATTGGAGACCGTCCAGTTTCGATGCAGCTGGTTTGTCCAAAAACCATACCAACTTCCCTTTCACGACGATTGCAACGTTGGATGCTGAATTGATGACAGGCTGGACTAACCGTGCAGGCAGCGACGGGCTGTCACGTCCAATGTTATCGATTGCCAAGTGCACGGCCTCTGCTTTGCTCTCACCCGTCACGACTATTGCAAGGTTGGATGCTGAATTGATGACAGGCAAAGTTAATGTTATCCTCTCGAGTGGTGGTTCGGGGGAATCGGTGATAAAAGTCACCCATTCGTCCTTCTCGTCGAGCACTGCATGATTAGGAAATGGTGAGGCAACGTGACCATCGTGGCCCATGCCAAGAAGGATAAGGTCAAACTTGGGGCAGTCACTAATGTCGGAAACACTGACCGTCCTCCTTTTAACTAGCTGCCGGATAATGAACGTGTATTTGTCGGCAGGCTCCTCTGCTGTAACCGAATCATTGATAGAATGAACATGGCTGGGAACAACCGGCACCCGCAGCCCATACAAGGCATAAGTAGGACGAACATATATGTAATATGGCTTGAACTTTACCAAAGCATAACTTTTCAGTGAACCTATCCATTGATGAAAGCAATGCTAAATCATTATCGACTTCATTGTGAAGCTAACAGAGAGTAAGTCCTAAGATTCTCAAAATTGTCTGATAAAAAAATCACGAAAAATTCCTTATCGGTTCCAACATATACACTCCATCTTCTAATAGATGAGTCTACAAGAACTGCAAAAGATGAACGACAGTTCCACTGCAAGGCCTTTAGCTTTTCAGAACCATCAATCATCTCGGTTATTTCGATCATATCAGATGTTCTGAAGATGCATGCCTCATGCTAAACTCGACAAGCCGATTGAGTTAGTAACCGGAAGAAGTTCAAAAGTTCTTAGAACAGTAGGACCACCGTTACAAGTTCTTCGAAACAAGTGTTTAGGCCCTCCCGTGTGCTGGTACTGCCCTTTTAAGAAAGGCAAAATAGGAACACAGTTGCATTATGCATTTGTTTATATGCTGTTTTGAGCCAAAGATGACACCGTGAACAAACAAAAAAGGAACTTCAATTGATGCGAACCTACGGGATCATTTCATCAAGTGGTAGGATTGACCATATAAAATCAAACTTTATCATATCATAGTCAATAAATTAACATTAAGCTCAGCATGTCGTCTATTTTTTAACTAAAAATACCGAGTTTGAAACATAATGAATAGTCAGATGACCATTTGTAACTTTTAATAGTCAACGGACTCAATAAAACAACATTTCATAGTTAGAGGATCATTATGTAACTTTTAATAATCAAATGACTAAATAAAATAATACGCTATAGTCGATGTACCATTTGTGTATTTTACCCTCTTTTTTAATAATTGGGTTCAATGAAGTAGACCTATCAAAGCTAATTTCGTGTAATATCCTTTTGAAACACATAAAAAAAATTAGTTGTCCCTATTATCATATGTAATGGGATAAGGGAAAGGTAGGGTAGTAGGTTAGCCCCCAACGCCAGGTTAAGAGCAATTTCCGTGAAAGACCTCCGTTATGAATTGCCCTTAGTGAGACTCGATCTCACGACCATAACGTTAAAAGTCTTATGCTCTACAAACTGAGCTAGACGAGTAATTTTGAAACACATCAACATCCATTTTTCTGTTTATTATTTTTGCTGATGTAAATGTGTAGACCAAAAATAGTAAATAATTTTTGAAAGATCAGTAATTTTATTTTATTAAAAAAGTAACAAAAAATATAAGTATTAACAAATAATTTGTTCATTATACAAAAAAATTAATTGAGAAATCATGTCTTTATCTATCATTTTCGTTGATTATTGTAGGGGTCCTGTCATAGTAAGGGATGATTATACGCCATAAAGAAGAAATCCAACCAGTACTCAGGATTGAACTTTTAAAATTTTAGGGATAAACTTAAATTTCAGGGTGAAAATAAATTTTTAATAAAAATATATAAAAAATTTAAAATATATAGTAATTTAAAATTTCAGAGGCGTCGACTGTCCCACTCACCCCTCGATCCATCCCTGAATCCAACATTCTCTCTACCTAGATTTTGGAATCCCCACATATTATAATATGTATATATATAGAGAGAGAGACCATTATTCAACACATTATTTATTGGATAAAAATATATAAATAAATTTAAATATTGTTATGAGTTATTTTAAATAAAAAAAATAAAAGATATGGTAACATATTCGTTTGTCACATAGCTATTTCACTGATTAGTTATATGCCGATTTGCACTAAGCTTTCTGTTCCTTCATTTTGAAATCCCCATATTACAAATGTATAATACACTGATTTGCCCTAATCTTAGGTTGTCTACGTGTCTCCAAGATACCCTGCCTGCATGCTGCATGCATATATATAAAGGCATACGCACCAGCCGGATACTAGTTATTGCATCATGCTTAGGGATGACGATGTAATTCAAATTGGCACGGGTTATGATTCGACTCGATCTCACAGGGTTGGATTTAAAAAAAATTGAGTTCAGTTCTAGTCAGGTCAAATTTTTTAAGGGGTCAGGTCGGGTTCGTGTGGAGGGTAAAAACTCCGACCCGATATTAATAATGTAATTTATTTAAAAAATACTATTTTTTTAATTAAGTCCTTATTCTATACCGAGTCGAGTTGGAATTATACTCTGAAAATTCAGGTCGGGTGGGTGTTATATATTTTTCGTATTAGATTAAATCAGATCAGATGGATTATATATAATTTTCTGATTGGATCGAGTTCAAATAGAAAATATATATTTTCGAATCGAATCAAGTTGATCTAAAACTCAACCCTAACCTGACCTGTTATCATCTCTAATCACCCCTAATCATATTTTGGTCCATTATATTTAAATTTAATCAGATTATAATACTTCTTCGAATGTCATTTAATTTGGTCTTGATTCAAGAAAGTTCCAGTTAACTGAAAAATTGATTAGATTTTTAAGATAAAAATTTGTAGTCGAACCGATTTGTCACAATATATATATATATATATATATATATACATATTTTTGTATTAAGTAAATAGGGACCTAATTAAAAATATAGAGTAAGATGTATTGTAACAAATATTCTTAAATATATAAAGATTAATTATACTATTATTCTCGACACTGGTTGGATCATGTATTTTTTACTATAAACATGACACGACATAAGTTTATAATAAAATTAATCTTATATAATTGATCGAAACCCGTCAATTTCAGATCAAATGTGAATCTAATCAACACAATAATACGGTTTGGGGCAGCTTTCAAGCTCTTATATTCTTCAATCATTTGAGAAAAAAAAAAGCTTGTACTAGCAAATATTGGCCAATATTGCTAGTTATAGTATGGTTCCATACTACTTGCAGATATTGGCCGATACAAATTATACCCACTTCTAAGGAATATCTTTTTTCTTTTATTTAATATATAAACTTTACTATAAAATCATACTATTTCCAATAACGTGTCACGTTCTTATTGGTTAATTAGTAATATTTTTTTAAAAGTAAACTAAAAATAAAAGTGATTGTAAATCTCCAATAGCAACTAAAAGATTGCATTAACTACTTTTTATATTGATATGGGGTAAGCATAAGGAAAACGGGTTATCGGGTTTGGATCGGGTCATTTCAGGTCTAAATTATATTCGATTTAATTTTATTCGAGTCGGATCGGGTATGGTTCGGATTTAGTTTGGGTGTATGGTAAATTGGGTTGGGCCGGGTCAATTTTCGACTGGATCAATTTTTGGGTCGGATGACTATCGGATCGGTTGTTTTTCAGTTCGGATCAATATCAATTCGGTTGATTTTTGGGTCGGGTTAATACCGGATCTGTTAGGTTTCGGGTCGGGTTAATATCAGATTGATTGATTTTCGATTTGGGTCAACCTTTGGATCATGTTAATTCAGATTGAATTGGTTATATGAATCTAATCAAGTATATATAGAATTATTGATATATTCTTGTAAAAATATATTTTATTGTTTGTTAATCTTATCATTTAGGCTTAATTCGGTTATAAGTTTAATTAAGTATATATAGATTTTTGGCTCATATTGCTTTTGATTTGGATTAATTTTGGATCGGGTTAAATTCAGTTCGGATTGTTTTCGATTTGGGTCAAATTGGATATGGGTCCATATTGAGTTAGCTAAATTTTGAATCGGGCATGGTTCGGGTTTCAGATCAAATTTGAGTTAAAATCGGGTATTGGGTAGGATAAATTGGTTTGGGTAATCGGATTCGGGTTAAGTTTGCATGGTCTAAGCATAAAACAATATTTGTTCAAATATAACTCTTAACCTTTTGACATTGAACACTCACACTCCTTACATTTATGATGTTTGAACTCGGGTCCTCCAAAAATAACAACAATTCCTTTACCACAAAGACCACTTAGATCGTGCTTGCATTGCATTACATATTAGAAGATAAAGAGGATATTTCATATTAGTTAACTATTTTTATTCTTCTTTTAGGGTATGCTCGTTAATTCTTGAATTGTGTGTGGTATGTATCTTTAACCATGCTTTTGAGAATAATATATACAAAAACAAATTAAGAGGAATAAAGGTGAAGACTCATAATGGTAGGGAAGATTTCCATGGAGAACCAATCAAATTTGAGATTTCTTTTAAAAAAATAGAGTAAATTACAAGTTTAGTACCTAAACTATTAATTTTGATTCGTTTTAGTACTAAAACTTTCAGTTTTTTAAAACTATACCTAAAGTTTAGTTTTTGTTAAATTTTAGTACATCATTCAAAATTTAACGTTAAATTTTGAAAAAAATTAAAAATTTATGTACTAAAACGGACCAAACTGATAGTTTAAATACTAAAGGCGTTAAATTTTTATAAGATTGTTGCATCATATTGTCCATAACATAAAAGGCCGAATACCAAGCTAGATTCACAAAAGATAATATATATATATATATATATATATATATATATGCTCTTCTTATCTTACCACCTTTTTGAAGCCACTTCACCATAAACTTAATTTTCACAAGAAAAGCTTAGAAAAAAATAAAAAGAAGCATAACCATAAGTGTCAAGCAAACCTAGCTATTGCCTTGCAAACCAGAGGATTCTTCATTTCCATAGATAGGTTCAAATGTTCAACCAACTCAACATCTTTGTCTTCACAAGGAACCCATTTGAAAGCTTGAAGCAGCTGAGATAACCAAAGATGAACAGTGACCAAACCCATGGATTTACCAGGACAAACCCTTCGACCCGAACCGAAAGGAGCCAACCTAAGATCAGCTCCCATGGTGCTCACATCTTCTCCTTCGATGAACCGCTTGGGCTCGAACTTCTCCGGCTCGGTCCAGAGGTTTTCGTTGTGGGTGATTGCCCACATGTTCACAATTGCTGTTGTGCCCGCTGGGATGAAATTGTCACCTATGTAAACATCATGGATGGCTAGACGTGCCCATGAGAGGAGAGGCCCTGGTGGATGAACCCTGAGAGTCTCCTTCACAATGGCTTGAACATAAGGCAGGTTCTGAATGTCGGAATCCGAAACCAGCTTTGAGTTTCCGACTACGGAATCGATTTCGGCTTGAGCTTGAGCTTGGATTTCAGGGTGTAAAACCATTCTAGCTAGTATCCATTCTAACAAGATTGCTACAGTATCAGTTCCCCTAAATATCATTTCCTGGAAAAAAATCCATGCAAATAACATAAATACCATAAGAAAAACATTGAAAATGATGTTAAAATGAGATGCATATATACCCATAAGACAGCAATCAT